TTGAACATATAAAATAGTAGCTTTTTTTTTCTTTACAAAATTACTATTCATTTCATCATTTCTCATCTGTTAATAGTATCATCATCATTATCATCATTAAGTAGCTGCATATAATTGTAATGATATTAATAGTTGCTGAATAAAAATGTGAGCTCAGTAAAATGTTGAAATATATAAGTAAACAAAACGACAGTAGTCATCATCATCATCATCATCCTCTATTGTCTGGAAAAACTCAATATACAAACAAATATCAATGTCAAGTACAGTTGATAACATAACAATTGATATATAAGGGTATTTGGGTGTATGCGCATACCCATATAAATCACATAGTACTTGACTTTTTAGTTTGTATTATTTTGTTTACCATTCTTTATGGATGCTTAACTTAATATACACTTTATTATATATGATATTCTAGATAGTTTTTCATGATAACCATTAGTGAGTAAAAAAAGAGAAAGGGAGAGAAAATAGAATTTGCTTCATCTTGAATATTTACTAATCACCAGAATTTGAAATGATTCAAAGTGAAAAATGAATGAAAGGCAATTTTTTACTTTATCATATTATTGTTATCATATCGTTATATCATATTTTATTATAGCATTGAAAGAGAGTGAATTATGTACTCTCCCTCCCAGTCACATTTTCATCTTCTTGCTCTTCATCTTGTCATCAAGTTTTACCGAATCGAATTGAAAATTATCAACATTTGATAACCTAAAGTTTATTCAGGTTACTGGTTGATGAGTTTTGCTTTAGCTTCAATGGCTTTTTCCTCGTTTATTATTATTGTTGATGCTTAATTTTTGTTTACCTAGTAAGAGGTTTTAATCATCCCTTTGAATTTCCCTCTCTCTCTCTCTCTCTCTCTCACTTCTCTAGTATCTTCTACTATCTCTTCATTTGAAAGATGATGCTGGTTGTGATGAAGAAAAAGTTGATAATGTTGATGAGTTATAAATAAAAGGAGAGAGAGAGAGATAGTAAAGATGAAGGAAACTTGTCGACTCTTTCAACGCTTCTATTTGAATTGTCAACAAGTTTTGCTTCATCTTTTTTTTTTGTCTTCATCTCATTTTGGTAAACAGAGTAAAAATAGTAAAAGATGGGGAAATGAAGAAAACAGGAGGACATGAAGCTCGAAAAGTTTTGAACTTGAAGCTCGAAATCGATTTTGATAAAATATCCATTGAGCCAATTATTAATATTATCACGATAATAATGTTCAAAGAACATATAAAGTATTTATATGTAGCTGAATTCTGTTCATCTCTATCACTTTGAAACTCACAATCGGCAGAATCAGCAATAACCTGAGAACTGTAAAAGAAAACTTTTCTCTTCCTCCTGAAGAGAAAAACTTCTGAACAAAAACGAAAAGTTCCACTTTTTTATTCTTATTATATTAGTTGAAGTTCTTTCTTTTTTGTCATCATTAGCTTCGATTCATCAATAGCTTTCCGACCTCATCATCATCTAATATTCCACCATTTTGGTACGTTCATTCATTGATTTACCTTTATTAATGAAATACTAGCGATGATAGAGTAAAAGTCAACCTAGAAATCAAAAGAAACTTTTTTTCCTTCTCAATCTATTATATGAATGAGTTTATTTTCATTCGAGTAAAAGTTTCAATGATTGGTAAAGATTATCAATGGAATCAGAGAGAAGTAGAGAAATTCAATTGAACAATTAAACAAATAGCTCAAGTTGATTGTTATAATAATGTTTACAAATAGTGAAAATCCCCTGAAAAAAAACTCAAGGATAAAACTGAAAATCTAATCAATAGTTCCTATTGCAATTCTGTGATTTCATCTTATAATTCATCATCATTATCCTTCAACTGAATTTCTCATTCCTATTCAACCCTCTCTCCCTTTTTCTTTTCATCTTATTATTTTTCCGTTCCTTCTTCCGTTACTATTAATAAATTAATGGAAAGTAAATTATATAATTATCATGATTAGCGAGGAGAAACTGGAAAAAGTTCTGTTCATTTTCAAGGTTGAATTTCGGTGTTTTTTTGTTCTCTTGTTGTTGCTAAGAGAAAAGAGATAATCATAATTTCATGATGACGCTCTTCATTTATCTCTTTCTCTCTCTTCTTTATCACATATCATAACATTGAATTAAATGTTAATGTTTTCGATTCTCATTCATGGTAAATAATCAAGTTACACCAGAAAGTTATTCATTTGATATCTCATAACCTCTTACCCTGAATAAGCAAAACAAAAAAGTGATGTTTGCTTATCATGGGGGAGAAGTTTTTTTCCTCTTCCTCTATTTCGTAACCTGTTTAAATTGTTGACACAAAAGTGGGTGAGGTAGGAAGAGAAAGTGTGTAATCAATATTATCTTAATTATGTTACCATCATCATCATGATTATTATTGCGTAAAGTTAATTTACCTCTCTCCTTTTGTCTCCCTTGTCTCCCTCTTTGTCAATAAATATTATGTATTAAATTTCATCATTGGAAATATGAATCATTTGTTTCCAGTTCTTTGCTTTTCTGATTTTCTACCTGAGAAAACTAATAATACAATTCATTATGATTACAACAATTTCATGATAAATTTGACGAATTGATTCTGAATTTCATGCTCTATCTTTTGTTGTGTGAAACAAAAAACTTTTCATCATGATAATGAATTAACTCTTGTTGATTCTAATGATATCTATATAATAACTTATTTGTCATCATCATGATTATATTGACTATATAATTCAATGAGATAAACACGCAAACGATTCAGATAATGAGATCAGTGGGAGAATAATAAAAAAAAGTTATATCTTTATTATTTATCAGTTTTTTTTTCTTTATGAGTTGATGAAAAATAAATATATTGATAACATGATGAACTTGTATGAACATATTATCATGATTTCAGTTGATTTCTGAACATTATGAATACAGAACTTGTTATAACTCAATGAATACTATAAGCTACATCTTGATTTATATTGATTCTTGGTGAGGGTTTGGTTGGTGTTATTAGAGATAGAGAGAGAGAAAGATGATGAGGATGATGCGGAAGGATTTTGTAAGAGTAATCGCTGATGATTGGGATGATGAAGCTCGACTATTGAAAAGCTAAATATAACTTTTTTTTCTTGTTCTTCTATTAGAAATGAAGAAAAAAATATTTATCATGTTTATCATCATGTGAGTGATGATAATGATGAGCGCAAAGATTCATATTAGACGGATGATGAGGATCAAAATGATGATTATGATGAACAGGAAAATGTTTAGGCAGGTCAAACCTAATTAGTGTAACGTAAAATAACATGATGATTAAAGTTTTTAATTAGTTAAAATTTCCAACTCACTTTTACATCATCATCATCATAACATCATCATTATGAGACACAAAGTATTCAAGTCTTAATAACTGATGATGATGACATGGGATGAGGATGGAAATTGGATGATATATATTTATTTTTACTCTTTTTTTAAACAAATTTCAATCTTGCTGTCGCTCTCTTGATTATCATAATATGGATAAACTATGAAAAAAGTACAGTTATCATTGCAAGTTATTTATTATCATGATAATCAAAAGTTTATCCAAAGCTATCTTTTGTTTTATAATTCAACTGATTCTTTAATTGAAATCATCATCATGTAGCCAGACATTTTATCATCATTATCTCTCTCTCTCTCTCTCTCTTTTTGCTGAACTAGAAACAATGAATTCTCATGATGGAAAATAATAATCACATTAGTGATAACAATTTTCTTCATGGTAACAGCATGAACACCAAACTCTGAACAATCATGTACAGAATTAGAAAAAAAAAGAAACGAGACTAAATGAAAAATTATAAATTCTTTTAATGATGATGATAACATTTTCTCTGTATTTATTATCATCATAATCATTGTTTGTATTATATTTAGTTATCGTTTCTCTCTCAATTTTTACTCACAGAAAATTGTTCTGAGAAAAATGTTCCAATATAAAAACAAAATAATATATTTAACATTTACTTTTCTATTGAATGTTATATTTTATTTTCCAACTTCATTTCCATTTGTTGAGAAACTTTTTCTTTCCATATTAAGTTACAATCAATCAATAACTTGATATGTATGTTTATCATAATAATAATAAAAAAAACTTTGTATCATTTTCTGTTCCAGTTTCATCATTATCATCATCATGTTGATGATTATTATTTTTCATTTGAATATAATAATAACATTCAGATTGATTATTTATAAAAATCATCATCACTCAAAAGTATCAGAAAAAAACTCTCAATTTTCATAATATCATTTTCTCATCATCATCACCACACGTTGATCATTTATTATCATCTAATAGTTTCCATTTATCTTTCCCAATAATCATCGGTTCATTTATTACCTTATCATGTTTTCTCATTGACCGATCATGATGATGATCATCATCATCAGTATCATCAATCTATATCTCATTTCTATTGAGTTTAATTATTAATTCGTTGTAATTCAATTTGCATGCTTAACTATTATAACAAGAGAAATGGGTAAACTGTATTACTTTGTAATTCTGTTGATGGGGGAGAGGAAAAAGTTCAATTTCATGATATACTCATGATACTTTGTATCAAAATTTTCATTCCCAATTCACACAAACTAATATTATGAATACATTTTCATAATAATAATAAAAGCAGAATAAGTTGATAATCATTAGCTTGACAGGTTAATTGTTTTGAGTTTCTTATTCAAGTCAATTATCCGATGATAATCATCATCACTTTAGGTTCTGATTTGTAAATTAAGTTTATTTGCAACAATTTAAATTTCTATTAACTCATTAAAAACTGTAATACTTTTTTTTTCTATTAAATTTTTCTCTTCCATAATCTTGATTGTATTAATAGTTTTCTGTCTCAGCTGATGCTTTATTATGGTGATTTTTGGATTACAAAGGTTATTAATACTAATTTTCTCTTTTTTATTATTTTTTTTTCAATTTTCTTTAGGAATTTACTCAGTGAAAAGCATCGATTCTGGTGTCGAGTTTGGATCTGCTGCCAGCCGATCAAATACACCGTCACCACCGACGATTAACGAAGAGCGATCCACTGCCGCTTCGCCAATTGCCATCGAGATTAACAATAACCATGTTGAAACTATTAAAGGAAATATAAATAATAATGATTCGAATGTTAATAATAATCAAATTAATGGATTAACTATTATTCATAAGGATGAAGGAATCGATATGGATGAAACAATTGATTTTATTATTGATGATCCAATACAAACAATTGCTGAGGTAAGATGAATGAAAGAAGGATGAAGATGAACAGGAAGAAGAAGATGTTAATGATGATTTAGACAGAGAAGATATTTCTTTCTCTCTCTCTCTCTCACTTGTTCTTTGTCTATTCTGTTAGAATCAATCAGACTTTTATTTGATTTCTACCAACAATCAACTTTTATCTTCTTCTTTAGTTTCTTATTAGTATTTTGTTATATTTATTTCGTTTTCAATTATATTGATGTAGTATTCATTTACCATGTCAAGTATCATGATTTGAATCTAAATCTGAATTTGAATCCAATTGTAATCCATATAATACATAAATGTATCATCATTATGAGTAACTTTGTATTCACTTTGAAAGTTAGATGATAATTTTTTTTTCTCGCCCTCTCTTTCAATTCTTTATATACACGATAGAAGGCACGACGAATTGTATTCAAATGTACTTGGCGTGGATGTGGCGTTCGATGTGATCTAATTGAATCAATTGAAAAGCACATTAGAACCATTCACCTTGGGTAAGAGTCTAAACCATTTGGATCGATAAAGAAATTTTTTTCAATCGATTAAATTTCTCTCTTTTTACTTTTTCTCCCCATCATATGTTACATTTATCATATAAACAGACGAAGTGAAAACGCCAGTGAAGAGGAAAATGATCATGAGGAGGAATTTTATTACGCCGAAATTGAAGAGGAAATGGAAACTGAGAATATAATTATTAGTAGTAAAGATAGTTCATCTTCTAATGATAGTAGCCTGGGTCTATTGTCTCCAGTCTTGAGTTCATCAGAGTCACCTCACAGTACAAATTACAATTTAAGTCCGACACTCAGTTCGGCCTCCTCCCTCCTTTTCTTTGCTCCCTCACCCACTTGGAGTCATCTTGATATGGCACGACCTCCACACGAGGATCCTGAATATCAAGCGCAACAAAAACAATTACAATTACAGTTACAATTGCAACAACAACAACAACAGCAACAAATTCAAATACAAAACCAACAAGTGCAAAACTTTAATCAACAGCAACAGCAACAAAAACCATCACCATCATCATCATCATCATCTTCATTGGTGACCCAAACTATTGCCAGTGCCCAATTAAAACCGGAACCGGAAAGAAAGACAGTGATATCAAGCCCGATCAACATTCCCGGTATATCGGTTGCCCATCGATGGTCAACAAAAATGCGTGATTCTTCATCATCATATTCTCCTTTCTCTGCTACTAGTTGCAATTCTAGTTACTCATTTTCAAACTCCCACCATCATCATCATCACCACTTTAACCATCACCATCACCATCAGCATCAATCTCAAGCATCTCTCCTTGCCTCAAGTTCAAGTCCAGTGAACTTTTTCTCGCCAAAAGCTCCTTCCAAAGTTATGCGATTGAGTAGTAACACTTCAAGCCCAATAAACATCAAGTCATCGGGAAATAACACCAACCCAACATTAACCGGAACCATAACAATTAGCGGTACCAATAAGACAAACAGTAACACCGTTACTAGTATCATCTCATCAAGTAACAACAACCCAACCCTGAGTACAAATACAACTACCAATGCCAATAACAACGCTTCTAGTAACCAATGGACAAGCTTATTACAATCAAGTTCAACCTCATTATCGGCCTCATCATTATCTTCATCCACTTCATCTCCATCAACCACAGGGATTGCAACGACCCTCCTTAAAGGGTCAAGCATATCGCCGACCCGTCGAACCCGAACCGAGACTCGAAAGTGTCGGAAAGTTTATGGTATGGATAATCGAGACTCTTGGTGTACTCAATGCAAGTGGAAAAAGGCTTGCACTCGATTCGTTGATTAATCTTATTGTGCATCGGCCAAACAAATAAAAAGAAAAACAAAAGAAAATCACCCAAAGGTGAAAAAAGGAAGTGACCATTAGCATCTTGATGACCATCCCCTCCTTTGTTTCTCTCTCTCTTTCTCTATCATCCTGTCACATTCTGCCTTTCCGACTATTATTCTTTCCCTCTCCCTCTCACTTACTCACTCTCCAGTTAAATACTACAAATACCATCATCATCATCGCCACAATTTAATTACATAACAGAAAAAAAGAGATTTTCTCACCTTTCTTTTGTCTTCTTCCTTCTTTCTCTCTCTCTTTTGTTTTTATATCATCATTCTCTCTCTCTCTCTTAACTTTATCTTCTTTCATTTTTCTGTTCACCCAACAAACTCAATAGATTTTTTCATTACATATTATATTATACATTCAGTTATTTTTTTTGTCTCTCTTAACGTTTTTAGTTATCATCTCGTTTTCGAAATTGAAAAAAAAGTTCTATAAAAAAAAATTATTGCTCACATTTTTTTTATTATTTTGATTCGAAAACTTTGCCCTCTCTCTCTCTCTCTCTCTCTCTTTAAACCCCTTCTTATCATCATTGTCATCATCTTATCTTCTTTTCTTCTCTTTCTTTTGCTTTGCCATCTTATTTTTGATCTTCAAAAACCTCTCTTGCTCTGTGTCTTCCTTTATACATTATATTACTTTACTATTATTATTATTATCATCCTCATCTTCCGCCTCCCTCATCTTGTTCATCATCTTCATCAATTTTCGCTGATTTCGCTTAAATATCGCATCTGAATGATTATTTCTGTCTTTCAGCTACCTGAGTTTCTGCACTTACACACAAACATATAATTACCTCTTCTTCAACTACTATTGTTCATTTCAATTCCAAAGAGAATGAGAATACTAAATGAAACCAATAAATCTGAACTCTATTCGTCTCCTTATTCTCTCTCACTCTCTCGCTCTCTCACCTTGATGATGAGATTACCAGATAAGGAGGAAAAGGAAAAGAAAAGAAAACAATTAATCTTACTTCAATTACCAGCGAAAATTTTAAATTCCAACTTGTTTCCCGCTCTTTCTTTCGTGATCATTTAAAGCCCATGAAAAAAACAATACAATCTAACTTGAAATTAAAATGAAATGCACACCAACAAACATGATGTTAAAATGCCCTTTGGTTGTTTCACCTTTACCATGAAAAATGATAATATAATAATAATGATTAACTAATTGAATAATTAACATTTAGCATATCCAATTGCAAAAACGAATTCAAATTGTTTTATTTCAAATTGTTTGGCTCTTATCATGATGTTCATGATTGTGATTATATGATAATCACTGAGACAATCGGTTCACTTGTTAATCTATTGATTTAATTTAATGATAAGTTATTTTCTCTCTCTCGCTTTTGATGAATGAAAAATCAATCGAAATCTTTTCGAGTGAATTTTTTCTTTCGATTTTATTTCATCTTTCTCCCTGCCTCCTTTTCCTTCCTGTTCTTTTTATCGTCATGAGATTATCATGACCCAGTGAATTTATTGAGTTTCTTTTCTTGTGGATTCGTGTTTTTTCATGACACATTTTCCTCTTCCTTCTGAATCTCCTGAACTTTCATATCAAGAATATCACCTTTTTTCACCTCACCATCGAAATTCAATCTCTCTCTCTTTCTTTCTTTCTTTCTTTCTTTCTCTCTCTCTCTCTCTCTCTCTCTCTTGCTCCTGCCTAAGAAACAACCATTTCCTTGGACTCTCTTATCATCATTTATTTTCTTGTTTACTCTCAACATTTTGTTTTCCAATGTGAATATAAACCGGAAGAAGTAATCAAACAGGATATTATCAATCACATGTTCTCGCAACAATATTTCCAATAACCTTTATTTTCCAATGATTATCAATTTCATGAGAAATTTTCATCACCAATCCTGTTCCTTTTTCCTAAAAAGTTCAAGAAAAAACGATAACAAGAGTCATGAGAAATGTTGATGGATAATTGAAATAATATTTCCAGTGAAAATCATTGATAAACTTTCCCATTAGATTAATAATAATTGAATCCTTGATTGATTCACCATCTAATCAGATGATAATCTCACTTAGATAAAGTATACATGTATGAATATTAAAACTTTACCTTGATTAATTATCCCTAATTGGGTTGATCATCACGAAGGAAAAATATTAATTGATTGTAAGGTAAAAAAGATGAAGATGAGTAAATTGATTAATTATTAGCAGATAATTAAAGTAAAGGGTCAATTTGGAATCTCGTGAGGATTTTCATGAGAGATGAGGATTAATATCAACAAGAAGGAAAAAGGATAAACGATTCTGTTGAAAAATAAGTAAAGCAAAAAAAAGAGAGAGAAAAGTGATAAAATATCTCTGTGAGTTTCTCCGTGTATTTTGTTATCGATTATCAATATTATTATTCAGAAAGTTCTGGTGGGAGTGATAAAACTCGAGATGATAACTCAGGGGATTCAATGAGTGTATCATGATGATGATGATGATTGTCATCATTATTTTTTTTCTTCCCTTCTTTGGTTTACAAGATGAAACACCAACAATTAATCAAATAATAATTTTCATCGGAAATAATCATATGTCTAAATAAGTAAATCGGATAATTGATTGTTCACAAATTGTTCAGGGAAATGAACTGAGCAATTTTCATCATTACTACAATTTTCTGTTTCTAACAGGATACAAATTCAATTCAAATGAATATCCGAAAAACTGAGTTACTGGTCAAGCAGAAAAGGAAATTGAAACCACCTAAAGATGAGATGAAAGTTATTGAAGATGAGAGAGAGAGAGAAATAAAAATTCTGGTCAATATATTGGTCAGAAATGAGATTTTTTTTATTCTCTTTGGTTTTTATCTTTAGGTTTATGATATTTTTTTTTCTTTTGGTTGATTATCATTAAGAGCTTATCATAATCTTACTCTTTCTCTTCTTTCTTTTCCTGTGGTTCATCTTATCATCATCTTGTTGGAAGATAAAATTTCTCTCTTCCATTTCATCAGTCGTAAGTATTAAAAGTTGTATTCATCATTATGGTTCCGTGTCCTCTGATTATCTCTTGATTATTATCATCACCATCATCATCTACAGAGAGAGAAAGGATAATGTTGATGATTAGAAGATACGGAAAAGAGTAAATGAAATGAAGATGATGATGATGATGATAATGTAATAAGGAGTCAATTGTATTAAGCTGTTACCTGGTCAAGAATTACATGAAGAAGGAGGAACTGGTCGCCACGGGGAGTTTCACTTATGGTCAACACTTTTTTTTTCTTTATCTTATTCCATCATCATCATTATCATCACAATCTCCTTCTTTTTTTCCTCTTTCTTCACTTTCTTTCATTATCTTGTTAAACTTGAATATTGTTCGAGCTACATTTCTCTTCAATTCTCCACCTTCACCAATCCACACCCTCCCCTAATCTCCATAATCACCACCCACAGAATCTTTTTCTCACCACTCAAAGTTTTCCATTGTTTCATTGGAGGTTCAGAACTTTTTTTCTTCGTTAAAACTTTTAGCTTTCCACTAATTATTTACACAATTAAATTCACTTACACTCGCTTACTAAATAGATTGACCATTCTGATCAAATTATTCGCGTTCTTGGTCAATCTTTACAGGAGAATTTCATCAATTAAAGTTAATTTCTGATTCTTTGGCCTTTCTCTCTCTCTCTCACCAAGTTACATCCAATTAGCAACTATTTCTGTCCCTCTGTGTCCATTTTTCAACCTCTGTGTGTCCAAATACATTATCTGAGGATAATGATGATGATAATATTGTGATAATGTAATAACTTTGATGATTATGATGATATCAAAGTAGTAATCATAATATAACAAAAGTAATAATCATAATGATGATGATGATGATAAAGATAATGCTAATAATAATCTGATAATCTGATAATAAAAGAGAACGAAGCATTTTTTTTCTTCATCAGAACTTTGTCTTTTCAGAGTTTCAATCTATTCGGTTCAGGATAATTTAAGAGGCTTATTCACTAAGAGACTAAACCATTTCATTGATTACCATAGCTTTGTATATGTATTTATAATTAGCATAGAATCAAGGTTGAATCTTCACTCAATCGTAAACTTTTATCAAGTAAGAAAAATTTATTCCAAATTATCTGATTATTCAGCTAATTTTCATTTTCATTTCATCTCTGAATCCTACTAATCGGATATTGAACAGTGACCATGGAGATCAGTGATTATCATGTAAATGTTATGATTTTCTTTCAATTGAAATGTTGAAAGAATAATAATCGAGCCTTGAATTAGAACAAAAGTTTTTTTCTTTTTTCTCCTTATGATCTAATTTCCATGTTGTCATCATGACTTTTCATGGCGTTGGTAATGATTTTTTTTCCAACTTTTATCCTAATAACTCACCATCTCTTCATTTTTTTTACCATTCTTACCATCATCATTCTGCCAATGATATATTTACATGATGAAAGTAGAGTTCATGTTGAGCGCAATGGTGAAAATTTCGCAAAAGTTAAGTGGAAAGAGAAAAGTTCTGGCTCTGTTAACAGAACTTTCTTGCTCTCTCATTCAGAATCTGCATCTTTCACCATCATCTTGACATCATTAACTGAACAACAATATCAATCAGCTGTTGTTAATAATGATAATGACGAGGATAAAACTATTATGGTGATAAATTGTTATTAGTTGAATGAGTTCCGGATTCTCTCTCTCTCTCTCTCTCTCTCTTCTGTCTCTTTCAGTATTCTTATCATTATCAATCATTTACATGGGATGTTCAGAAAGTCAGAGAGAGAGAGAGAGAGAGAAGAGAGAGAGAGAGAGAGAGAGAGAGAGAGAGAGAGAGAGAGAGAGAGAGAGATATGAAACCAACAGACAGATTGAAAACATATACACTTATTGACTCACTCCTCATGTTTTCATCATGATCTCCATGAAGCCTTGAGAAGCCTCTGTACTTATCTTAATTGAATGATCATCATCTGTTACAAAAATCAAAGTTTAAAAACATGAAATTACAGTTCAGAATCATAAAGAAAAGTCTCATCAGGAGATTTATTATTTCTTCATTAGAATGAGAGAAATGTTTCTCATTCAATGCATGCTAACAGAACAAAAATTTCAATGAACCAGAATTGCCTACAGAGAAAGTTTCACCATGGAAAAGTTTTTCGACAAATTCAAACCCAAGAAGCTTAAAAGTTCATAGTAAATGAATAAAATTTTATGGTAATTTATATATTATATTGTAAAAGAGGTAATTTATAAATTAATTAATATGGTTTTCATGCATATTCGCATTTAGTAATTACGATCAATGCTCATGAATGTGCTTTTTTTATACATTGTATATGTCAGGCCGATTTATGGTGATATCATTTTGAATGAACTTTTTAGTCCATAAACTCTAATGATTATCTTATTATCTCATTAGTTTATCATGGTCAATGTTTGCTCTCTGTCTATCAATATCTCTACAAACAAATTTAGGTCAAACTGTCGGAATTATTCATGAATATTCAGAATGCTTGGAATTTTTCTCTCCTGTTTCAATGTTATCACGATTATTCATTATCAATATCATGAATACAATCCTTTATCAACAATTATCGATGAAGATTTTGTGCTCAATAGGTGTAAATATTTTGTTCCCATGATGTTCAGCAAATATCTTGATAGTCTTGTCGTTGAATTCATATTTCATTCAGAACTTTTTTTAAGAAAGAGGTTTAAACTTTTCTTTCACATATAATATCACATTTCCAGGGAATTCCATCCCTACTCTCATTCGCATGTTCCCTGATCTCTACTTCTTAAAACAGGCAAAAAAATTCTGAAAAAAGTCTCAGTAAACTACTGATAAATAATTGCTTCAAAATCATCAAGTTCACATGCATACCCTTGAAATCGAAGACTGTATAGAAAAGATATGATCAAGATGAGTGAATAAACTTGATGAAAAAAAGTTCCAATGAATGTTAATTTATTACAGAACTTTTTTCAATATCATCTCGAAACATTTTCACCAGTAGATCTAAATGATCTATTGTTTTCACCATGTTCGACTATTTTTCTCTCATCATCATCTTCTTCTCAAAGTTCATCAAATCTGTGGCTTCTTCTTCTTCTTGACTCAGCCTTTTTCATTCAAGGTTTTCACTCCATCATCATCATCTTCGCCATCATGTTGATCATCTTCATCTTCTTTAA